TAGGGAAAAGAGAGGTAGCCGGTCTTGTTCAAGATCCAGTGGGGCCTGGGTGGGGCCTGGGTGGGGCTGAAACCCCAGTTCCTCCTCCCTCCAGGATGTTCTCCCCCTATTTTGCGCCCCCTTCTTGGGTCTCCCTCACCCACACACTGTCCATCAGAGGAACTCACCATGAGAATGTCTGTGCCACAGGGCTCTCACAGGGCCCCTGAGGTCCCTGGTCCAAGGTGCCTAGGGGCCAGACGTCAGCCCCTAAGTGCTTCGCTTTCCTCAATCCCTCTGCATTTTTAAGTCCTGGGGAGGTTCTGACATGGCCGCTATGAAGAAGCTGCCTCCTGCTACCAACTATCAATCACCAGAGCTTCTGTGGGCCTGCTCCCTCTTCTACAACGTCCCAAGCCCTGGCTTCTTTCTTGCCAAATGCACAGCTTTCAAATGCCTTCTTGAAAAGATAATAAATGCTTGGTGACATCACAGCCCCAGAGCCAAGGAGCAAGAAAGCATCAGAGGCAATGTTTCTGAGGAGAAGTCAGAGGCTCTGGGTTTGCCCAACAAAGGCGCCCTGTGCAAGTGTGGTCACGGTAATGGCCACTGCCACCACAGAACCGAAACAAAGCTGGCTCGGCGTCTCCCAAAGTCTATCTCTGGTTTTATACAACCCGATAATGTTCCCAGTTAAAAGCCTGAGCAAATCATCCAGTACTGAAAGCCAGGCAGTGGCCCGCTCTGGGGGGCCTCCCTAGCTGCTGGAGAAACAGTCACCCCAGGGGCCCTCGGCGGGTGAAGGGTGGGCTCCAGGCAAGAGGGAAGTAGCTCTGCCTAGGAGAGGGTAGGAGCTGCAGGCACCCCGGCTCTGAGACTCCAGCTGTGCCCCAGGCTCCAGCTCCCCACAATCCACCCCTCTTGGCGTCCGGCCCTTGGGGAAGCTGAGTGAAAGTCTCGCCTGTTCTGGATGCCGCAGGCAGGATCGGCCACAGTGATCTCCTTCATGTGTCACCGCTGGCTGTAAGCGCTGTGTTTGGTTTGGCAAAACGGCTATTTAAATAGCAGTGAAATGTGTCACTGGAAAAAAATTAGCTCATGTTTCCTTTGCCATTTCTTCATGATTTCCATTAAAAGTGTAACCACGGGTAATAAATTAACAAGATCTGTAAAAGCGACCGTAGGAAACCATGGATCCAGAATTCTTATAAACTTCTAACCCATGATGCTAAAAAGCAAGGCTACTTGGGGGAGGGCGGATTGGATCACCCATACTTCAGTTTTCTTTGTGTCGGATTCCTGCGCCCTCCCTGCAAAATGTGAAAGGAAGCCCTCCACTCTTTTCAGGGGGTGCTGTGGCTATCACCGGGGAAGGTCTTCCCCTTGGAAAACTCAGAGCCTTGGTGGGGCATTGCTTGGCTCTTCCTGTTTCATAAAAAAGCTAGAAAACAAAACTAAAAAGTCACTTCTCTGACAGAGCATAATCTCCTTCCCCCACACCGTGCCTCACCTGGTCCTAACCACAGTCCAATTGTTGGATTCTCAACTCCCTGCGGAAATCAGACTCTTTCTGGATAGCCTGAGGTTGAACTGTAGCTCAGTTTCACAGATTGGGACACTGAGGGCAAAGGAAAATATTTGCCTGGGGACGCAAAGGATCACTGTAGGGTCCTGAAGGTTTCTCTGGAGATAGTCGAGTGAAAACGCTGCAGCCTAGGAACACAGCCCCATGTGTTTGGTTTGACAAGCAAGGGCTTGGGGGTGGGAGCCAAAGGAGCCACAGGC